TTTCAATATTATAAACAAAAAAATTATATGGTTATGTTACAAATCCCTTGTGGACATTTATTAAAAATCCCAAGAAAATGTAAACCTTACAGAGTTCAGCTAGCCCAACGTGATGATAAATGAGAGAGAAAACTAATTATGCAAAATGAAATAAAAAATAAAAGAATAATGTACAAGAAAGTCCTAAAAATAGAGATAAGTATAGAAAAAATAATAGAACAATTAGAAAAAGTTTACGGAGAAAATCTATTGATGTTTTGGAAACTATACAATCCTAGAGCTAAAATAGAATTAACAGAAAATATTATTATAAGGGTGAAACCGATGATGTGTACCATACAAGACATACAAGAATTTAAAACTCAACTAAAAGAATTATTAGAACAAAAACTTATCAGACCAAGTAATGGACCCCATAGTAGTCCAACTTTTATAGTAATGAAACATTTTGAGCAAATTAGAGGAAAAACCAGAATTGTAATAAACTAGAGTTAATTGTTTGAATAATCATTCAACTTATATCATGGTCAATATTTACTTACTAAACTTCAAAATGCTTCACATCACTCATTGAACTTTGTTCGTTTGCACTCCATCCATCACCCTCAAAAATTCGTTACCTTATTCCTTGACGTGGCAAACAAAAATTTGACGTGACAAGTTACGGTCGTTAAAAAAATTACAACTCAACAAAACCATTGTTTCATTACTCATTCAACTTACACTTGGTCACATGTTACTCATCGAACTTCAAAATGCATCCAAATTGTCACTCACTTTTGAAATGTTGCACTTCATTCATCATTTGTCATATTTCGTCCCTTCATTGTTAATGTTCGCACAAAAATTCCACGTGACAAGTAACAAATATTAAAAAAAATTAAAACTCAACAAAATTATCAACTCGCCAAAATCATCATATGTGAAATGTGACTTTCACGACCCATAAACTTCTTTAGAACCCAATAAATCATTCCCAATGATTGTTAGAAATATCAGTTTTCTAATTCAAACGTTTACTGTGCAAAAAATAGGTTTCAATTTGAGGCTGAAAATCTAAAGCATAACTTGCTCTATTGGAAATTGATTTTTGAAAATACTTTGTTTATATTTCAACCATTTGATTTCTAATTGCATCCAATTGATCAGGTGTGATATTCAATCATTATTTTATATTTAGAATCAACTATTGAATATTTGATCTTTGATTCTCGAACTTTAGATTTCTTGCAATTTCACTTTTTTCTCGTTCATTGTCTTCAATTTTGTCAATTTCATCGATCTTTGTCTAACAAATACAATATACATAGAATTAAGCCATAATTCATTAAAATATCCGACAAATACTCTAATTTAAAGGCTTAAATAAGTGTAAAAATGTACTTATCACTAAGTTTTTTAGGGTTGAAATTGGGGACGTTTTGTTGGATTTTAAAGAAATTTATGGGGGGTTTAGAAGTCGTGTTTCACATATGATAATTTTTGTGAGTGATGGTTTGGCTAAATTGTAACTATTTTGATTATTGTAACTTACCCATGGAGTTTTCGTATAATAAAATAGCAATGAAGTGAACAAAATATGATGGATGATGAATAGAGTGCAACATCTCAAAGATGCGTGACCATTGTGAAACATTTTGAAATTCGATGAGTTAACTGTGACCAAGTGTAAGATGGATGAGTAATGAAATAATGATTTCGCTGAGTTGTAATTTTTTTAACGGCCGTAACTTGCTACATCAAATTTCCGTTAGCCATGTCAGCGAATAAGGTAACGAATTTTTAAGTGTGATGGATGGAATGCATACGGACAAAGTTCAGTGAGTAAAGTAAAGCACTTTGAAATTCAGTGAGTAAACCGTGACCATGGTATAAGTTGGGTGATTATTGAAACAATTAACTCAATAAACTATAAAGAATTAAATAAATATACTAAATTTGATGGATANATCATTTGAATGAAATGTTAGAAACGAGTTGGAATGAGTAAATAATGATACAAAATCCTTAATTAAAAAAAATAACAATGAAGTGAACAAAATATGATGGATGATGAGTAGAGTGCATCATCTCAAAGATGCGTGACCATTGTGAAACATTTTGAAATTCGATGAGTTAACTGTGACTAAGTGTAAGATGGATGAGTAATGAAATAATGATTTCCCTGAGTTGTAATTTTTTTAATGGTCGTAACTTGCCACATCAGATTTCCCTTAGCCATGTCAGCGAATAAGGTAAAAATTTTTAAGTGTGATGGATGGAATGCATACAGACAAGTTCAATGAGCAAAGTAAAGTACTTTGAAGTTCAGTGAGTAAATCGTGACCATGGTATAAGTTGGGTGATTATTGAAACAATGAACTCAATAAACTATAAAGAATTAAATAAAAATACTAAATTTAATGGATATTTCTTATCAAATAAGAAAGTCTTAATAAACCTTGCAAAATGAAAACAATGTTATTCTAAATTTGATTGTAGATCAGAATTTTGACAGATAAAAATAGAAGAAAATAGTATACAATATACAACCTTTAATACACCTCAAGGCAAATATGAATTGTTAGTAATGCCTTTTGGATTAAAAAATGCACCTTAAATATATAAAAGAAAAATGGATAATATATTTAAAAAATTTAATGAATTTCTGATTGTATATGTTGATAATATATTAATATGTTCTAATAAAAATGAAGAATATAGAAATCATTTAATAAAATTTATAAATGAATGTAAAAAGGAAGGAATATTTCTTTCAAAAAAGAAGGCTATAATAGAAAATTAAGAAATTGAATTTTTAGAATTATCAATTGATAAAGATGGAATAAAATTACAATCTCATATATCTAAAAAGATAGTAAATTATGCGGAAAGATTTATTGAAAAATCTTTCAAAAAAGAGACATAAAATTCAGACCTTACTTAGAAAAACAAATACTAAGGGATGGAATGAGGAACATACAGAAATTGTTAAATC